CCCTGCCCCCTCTTTCCATGCTCCCCTCCCCCCTCCGGGTTCCTCCTCTCCGCCTGAGGCTGTGCAAAGGGCTCCCCCCTTCCCTGCTAGCAGGCACCTGCTTTGCTGAAGTGCCTCTTCCAAGGGACTCAGGATATTGGCCTGCTGGAGATGGCAAGCCGGGAAGTCCAGTCCCTGGAACAAGCTGCAGCTGAAGACGAGCCTTCACAAGGGGGAGGTCTTCTGCCACCCCGGGGTGGCCACGCTGTCACCCTTGCTACCCCCACAGCAGTCAGGAGAGTCTGAGATGGCCCTAGGCACTGTGTTGTGGGGTCCCAGGGGATGCACACGGGCTCCTGAGGTGTTTCTCGGCCCGTACTTCTCTGAGGTCACAGACACGGCCGGTGCTGGTTCTTCCTTTTCTCTCCAACCCGCACTTTTGTTCCAGTACTTTTGTGTCTGAGGACCTGCTGTGTGCAGAGACTGGGCTTGGTGCCGTGACCCACAGAGACCAGGTGCCCAGGGGGCAGTCCAGCCAGGCTGTTGGCTGCTGGAGGCGCCTATCGGGGTCGTGCAGACTCAGAGGGGCTGCCTGCTTCAGGACGCGGGTGGGCGGGGGTGGCGGCACTTCCAGAGCCCTGGCTTTGTGCAGGTTGTACCTGGCCTCCAGGTCCTGAGACTGGGGAAATCGGGGACAGGCCTGCACAGGAGGGCTGTGGGCAGGAAGAGGTCAAAGGTGAAGGGGTGGCAGACCCTGACTCTGGAGCTCCCGTCCAGTGACTGAACTGTGGATGCCGGGTCAGGTGGCAAGTGCCCTGGGCATCATGGCTGTCAGCTCGGGGTGACCCCGGGTGACCCCTCCAAGCCTCAGTTTCCTTCTCTGCTGTGGTGCTGCAGGCCACAGTGAAGATAAGCTGGGTTAGTTTCTGTGCGGAACTTGGGGTGCTGGAGGCAGAGGCCGGTGCCAGCAGGAAGGGGTGGGCAGCAGGGCATCTCTCCCCAGCCGTGGTCCAGGGTGAGCGCGTGGGGAGGGCCAGGCAACCCTGGCTGCAGCCGGAGTGGTGGTGGGGGCAGGTCCTGCCTCGGGTTGCTCTGGAGGTGTTCTCTTGGGACAAGGACTGTGTCGGTGGGAACCCGTTTGGTGGGCGTCGCATCCCCTTGCTGGGAGCAGTGAGGGGGCCGTGTTTCTGTTCTTGGCAATGTTTCAGAGCCCTTCAGATTTCTTGTTACAGGCCCTGCGCTCCTGGGGGCAGCACAGCGCTGCAGCTTTTGGTTCCCATCCAGTTTTGGTTGGAGCAAGCTGGTCCTTGACTTAGTCGCTCTGCATTCCAGCACAGGAGGTGTTGGGAATCTCGGGTCTCCCTTTCCCAGCGAGCGCAACCCTCCAAGGGGGCACTGAGGGCCCCGACCCTCTCCAGTGGTCAGCCACGCTGCTAGCGGGCCAGCCGTCCCTCAGGGCTGCCAAGAGCGGCCTGTGGTTATCCCACTGTTGAATTCACGTCCTCCCCACCTCCTTGGAGGTCTCACGTCATGGATGGTGTGACTGTTGCACCGTCCAAGTTTGAGGGAGGTTTGATTGGTTCCTTTTCTGTCATGAAGCCTGTGGGCTTGAGCTGACCAGGCTTGTGTCCACCCCTGGTCACCTTGGGCAGAACTCGAATCTGGTGTCCAAGCAGGCGCTGTTGCTGGCATCTCACCAGGGACACTTTCTTTTTTAAAAAATGTTTTTGTTTTTCAGAGGCAGGGTCTTGTTGTGCTGCCCAGGCTGGAGTGCCGTGGCACACTCGTGGCTCTTGCGGCCACGAGCTCCTGGCCTCAAGCAGTCCTCCTGCCTGGACCTCCCAAAGCTCTGGAACCCAGTCTAGAGGGCACTTTCTTTTCTACGACATCGGTCTTCCTCTTTCCACCCACAGCAGCTCTTTCTTGTTTGGAGGGGGAGGTCACAGGGTACCTGTCTTGCGTGGTGCGATCATGCTGTCTTTGGGGAAAACTTCACTTGTCTAGCTGGGGACTTCACTCAGCAGTAATCGGTATCTCCCTTGACCCCACAGTAACTGACGTCCGTGTCCTCTCCATCCCAGGGACATCCTGATCACCAGCGTGGACGCCGCAACCACCTTTGACGGGCTGTGCGAGGATGTGCGTGACATGTGCGGGCTGCACCCACAGCACCCGCTCACCCTCAAGTGGGTGGACAGTGAAGGTATCCTGCACCCGTGAACCAGCGCCTCAGCTGGCCTCTGGTCTTCCTTTGTGTGCTCAGCCTCTCCCAGGGGCAGACCTGAAGCCATGGAGCTAGGCTTGTGGGAGTCCTTCCCCCAGAGATGACTGGGAGCAGCTGGGCTCAGAGGAGGAGGGTGACCTGAGATGCCCCGCAGGGGCTTTGGGCCTGAATGTGAGGGGGTCTCCCTGCCCCCCCACAGGTCCTCACCTCCTCATGCAAACTGTCCTTCCTTGGACTTTTCTGGTAGATGATTTTGGAAGGAGGCAAGTGCAGTGGGGCTCTGTGGGGACCCCAACCCTTGTCCTCCCCAGTCACACGTGTCCTAGAAAACTGGGGGGCTGGGAGACAGTCCCTTTTCCCGCATGACTGGCTGGCAGCTGTTGGAGCAGGTTCTGGTGGGAGGCAGTCCCATGGGTCGAGGGCCCCAGCCTTGCCGTGGCCCTGTCCAGCAGTGGTGGGCAGGGGGCCTTCCTGCTAGCATAGCCCCGACCTGAGGAGGCCGTTCTCCGTCTTCTCCCTGCCCCGCTTCCAGGTGCCGCCCTGGCTGTGCGTGGACTGATTTCCCTTCTGGGGACTGGCTAGGTTTCACGTGGAGCCGTGGGCCGGCGAATCCCTGGGCTGGACGGCTTGGAGGTGGCTGGTCACGAGCTGCAAGACTGCCCACCCTGGCTCCCGCCTGATGTGCTGTGCCTTTTCCAGGAGGGGCCATCCCGCCTGGGCCCAGTGGACTCAGGACTGTCTCTCACCACAGGCGACCCTTGCACTGTGTCCTCCCAGATGGAACTGGAAGAGGCTTTCCGCCTGGCTTGCCAGCTCAGGGACGACGGGCTCATCATCCACGGTCAGTGCCGGTGGTCCGCGGAGATGGGTCTCTGGTCGCTCTGTGGCTGTGGCATCCTTGCCGGGACACCTGGGGGATAGGAAGCAATATGGGACTGTGGTCAAGGGTCTTATGGAGCCAGAGAGCTTGGGGATGTCAGAGACGCTGTCTGGGTTTGCCATTCTTTCTGATGTGTTATGACCCAAATAAAAACTGCCCTTATGGGGAATGGCCACAGCCGACGTGGGGTATCCTTGCTGGACACAGACGCATGGGCTCTGGTCACTGGTCCTCATGGGCCTTGATTCCTGGGGGCCAGCTGGTCACTGTCTGCACCTTTTAGGGTACAGGACTCATAGTGCATGCGGACAGAGGGGCCATGGCTCCCTTTCTGCACTGCTGCTCAGGCCTGTCCTAGTCTCATAGCTGGCTGTCAGGTTCTGCAGGGTATCTGCCCCGAGGGTGTGGTTCTAGCTTGGTCTGGCACTCTGGTGGGCGTGGCCAGCCAGCCTTGTCTGTGTCCACTCTGGGACAGCTTGGGCTCTTTGCCAGAGGCCTGGCCACAGGTCACTGAGCCCAAGAGATGGGACCAAAGGTCAAAAATGCCTACAGTTTTCTGTGGGATTCGCTGTCCACCCTGACACTGGGCTAGTTGATTAAAATATTTAGTTTTTTTGGCCCTTTGTAATCATGTGCTTTTAACTCCAAGGCTCAAATCCACCTTATTTTTCATGATGATAAGCATGCTCATTAGGCCAGGTGTGGTGGCTCACGTCTGTAATCTCAGAGCTTTGGGAGGCTGGGGCGAGGGGATTGCTTGAGCCCGGGAATTCAAGACCTTCCTGGGCAACATAGCAACACCTTGTCTCTACAAAAAGTCAATAATTAGTCGGGCATGGCAGTATGCACTGGTAGTCCCAGCTACACGGGAGGCTCAGGTGGAAGGATTGCCTGAGTCCGGGAAGTCAAGACTGTGGTGAGCTGTGATTGTGCCTCTGCACTCCAGCTTGGGTGACAGAGTGCGATCCTGACTCAAACAAACAAAAAGGAAAAGAATTTACTTTATTTTCTAGATTAAGAAAATGTCTGTTTTAGCTCTATTTTAATATTTTCTAAGCTTCTATCTTAATGACTTATTAGGAAAGCCCAGAATATGTTAAAATACTAATTTTAGATTCCATCTTGAATATTAAAAAATGGGAAAAAAGTGCACTTTTTAAAGTTAGTTGTCAAAGGAATTGCAATTCTTTCCTCTTTTAAATATATTTTAATTTAATTTTTATTTGAGTTGGAGTCTCACTCTGTCACACAGGCCGGAGTGCAGTGGCATGATCATGGCTCATTGCAGTCTCAACTTGGTGGGCTCAGGTGATCCTTCCGCCTCAGCCTCACAAGTAGCTGGGACTACATGCCGTCACACTAGACTAATTTTTTTCATTTTTTGTAGAGATGAGGTCTTGTTATGTTGCCCAGACTGGTCTTGAACTCCTGGCTTAAACAGTCCTCCTACCTTGGCCTCCCAAAGTGCTGGAATTGGAGGCGCCCAGTCAGTTATTACTATATATATATATATATATATATATTTTTTTTTTTTTTTTTATTTTTTTTGAGTGGGAGTCTCACTCGATCGCCTAAACTGGAGTGCAGTGGCCGCTCCCGGCC